GGTAATTCTAGGCTGTTCATCGCAACGTGCTGTTGGTTGCTTTGCTTAGAGAACCAAAGTGGTGGAATATTGAGGATTGGTCAACGCTTAGGTTAAATTTTACCTACTCTGTTGGTTTGGTAACGAGTAACAGCAGCAGCTTGACGCCGAGCCGCTGAAGAACGGGAACGGGAACAGGAACGAGAACATAAACAAGAACAAGAACGCATTCATACCATACGTTTACCGCGGCGAAGGAAGTGTAAATGCGCGGCGGTTCCCTTTTTTCTTCAGTCATGGTAGCGGTACGGTAAACTCACCAACGTCGTTGGGTGTGCACGAAACCTCACCGAACGATGAGTATCGGGGAGGGTTGGTTCATGTTGGTCCCAGATATGCTCCCGACGGTTTGGGGTCTAGATGCGACACAAAGCTTGCTTGTCGCGACGGCTTGATAGAACAACCCTCACCCGACAAGTGCTACAGGAGCATTTAGGAACATTTCTAGACGAGCATTTCCAGACGAAGGCTACCTAACCTCTAGGCTACCTCTACCTCTACTGCGTAAGATTGAAGTGTCCTGTCCTGTCGCATTGCTAGTAATTTGCCATGGGGCTATATAACACTTTTCAAGACTCAAGAGCTTGCCAGAAGTAATGCGTTATCTCCTGCTCGGATCGCGTACGTTGTAGTGTTTTATATTCATCTATTGTGTAATAGCTTCCAAGAAGAGTATTTTTGTACGTCAAACGTGGCATGAGACCATTGAGGCTTAGAGATCTAAACTCGGGTTTGCATGACATCGATCTCTTGTGACCTGCCATGATCTTCCTCTGTGTGAACTCAAGCACTTCCGCTTCTGGCATTGAAACGGATGTCAACCCGAGGAAATATAGGTGTGGAAACTGGGGGAGGGAATAAAGGTCCCTGACCTCGCTAGCAGGGCACAGGGCACAGGGCAGCAGGGCAGCAGGGTCGAGAGACTCGCAGACTTTGGGGGCGCCATCCCCCCGTGCTGCCCGTGCAATCGGCCTTTGTGGAAGACATGGGAGACAAGGGACCCCCCCCGTATGCTGCTCATCTCAATTTGACCTGGTCGACGTTGTCTCACAAACGGAGATAATGGGAATTACGCACTATGGCGGGTATCTTGGACAGGTTTGTATGTAATGGTAGTAGGAGTCGCAAGATGACCTTCGCTCGGCTCGGCGACTACATACTAAGATACGGGTATAATACATATGATACAGGATACAGCGAAACATGTTAACACCCCTCCTTTGTCATCATACATTCTACATTCTACATTCTACCATACCTAGATAGCTACTACATATAGTCCCCATTAGTATGTACATACATCATATGTGGACCGATTATGGCCGAATTGGCAAATCCAAACGAAGATACCTTGCCGGAGTCCTTACATAGTACGGTTGCCGCTCCTTCGAAGGGCCGACCGCTACTGTTTATGGTATTATATGGGTATATGGGTATATACTAGACGGAGGAGCGCCAGGTGAGCTCCAGTAAGAAGTTCTATGTAGTGGTTTAAAGAGTGAAGGAATAGTAGTGGGGGAACAAAACCGAGAAACCGTCATCAAAGGAATACGCGTCTCTCGGTTGATTACTGGATATGTTTCTAAGCTAGATTTCATAAGTGAGGGGCTCATCATAGTAGGAAGCTTGTCAAGGCTTTGAAGAGATCTGGCTCGCTAGCGGCCGTCAAATAAAATCGCACGAGTCCATTATGACGATCCGTCGCGAGCGGAAACGGTGGCAGAGAGTGGCCCATGTTTGCCCTATGAGAACGCGATACGGTCCGTTTCTGACATGGGGGAGGTGGACCATGGGTACCCTGCTGAAAAGTCCCAGTCCCTGGCTGGTCAGCCCGTCAATAGGTCCGCTAAGACTAAAAGACTCAGTGGAGAAATGAAGAAAAAAAAAAGAGAGAGAGAGAGAACGGGTAACGGGGCCAAGCTCTACGAAATAGCTCATTATCATTGAACGTCTCTTATTCGACTTACGGCACAGGGACTAGAGGAGAACTGCTGACTTCCAAGAGTCTCCGGCCGACTCTAACTTCTAAGTGTGCGATCCTTCCCGCCGAAGTTACCTGTGTAGGTGTCGCGATGGCTCACCTGGTCTGATCCCTAATATTGCGAACCCGGTTTTTGTAGACCATTCATCTCAACTATCGTGAGCCTAAATAAGTTGGCCCGTGGTAAGGGGGTGGAATCTAATCGCTTTATTCGCTGCCGTTGCTTCTATTTTCTATTACACACGAATTACATAGTACACATTGGCCATTCCCTTTCCCATGGGCCATGGCGTGAGATACTATTGATATATTGATATAACCTAGTAGTTAATTAAAAACAACTACATAATACTTGGTTACTACATACTACATACTACCTACGTACTACATACTACATACCTTGCTAGATTACCTTGGTTGATACTAATAATATGTAGCAACTTAATGACTTACAAGCGAAGCTGACAAAGAGTTAGGTAGTGAAAAGAGAGACAAGCATTTACGAGCGTTCCTTGGTCCAACTCTAGGTGGGGTTTATTCACCTCTCATAATACCCTAATAAGAAACAGGGCAGGATTTGGCTATCGTCCCTCTTGCCCTCTTGTATGTATACGGAGGTATTCATAACTCATCGTCTTTTCATTTTGATGATCTCCATGCCCTAGTTCCACCTCGGGAGCATCCAGTTACCCGCACTCTAGTCAGATTCGGTTGACCTGGACCAGCTAGATCGGCTTGTCCCTCGTCCGTCGTTGCTTGCTCGCTTTCTCTCTCCCTCTCACTGACTAACACCAAAACGAACCTCGTGGAGAAGAAAAAAAAAAAAAAAAAAAAAACCAGAAAAAAAAAACAGAAACATGGCGGGCAGCCACTCGAACGGGAAGGACTGGGGATATGCTAGGTATCTAAATGTCTAAGCTAGAGAAAGCCACATGTTTCGTGTCTTGAAAAAACTTAAGATTATTACACTAGATAAACTGTTAAAGAAGTCTTCTCTCTCGATTTTCTCGCATTTCATTCGGCTTGTCTCATAACAATGCTACGCTCTGCGTGTACGTACGGCTTGCCGAGTCCGCCGGGGTGTGGCGCTTTCAGTTACTTTTTGCGGCCCTTGTCAATCCCGTCCGATGGCATGGCTGTATTTCCAGTATTCCAGGATATAGCTCTCCAGTTTGTGGTTTCTCTGACAAGTAAAAAAAAGCACGGTAACATCGTGGTCTCTCCACACACAATGAAGATTCAACCCCGGCTAGCCAGCCCTCTTTAGACGCACATCCACGGGCCTAACTACATTAATTCATCTGTACCTTTGAGTAGGGACCCTCGTCCTGTCAGACCTGTCATACCACATCTTATCCCTCGAGGGTTACCACGCACACCCCCCCTTCTTAGGTATCTCTTGTTATTCAGGGCCCCCGGACCTCGAAGGGCATTCACATCCCTGCTGCTGCATACAGACTTACATATGTATCTATGTACGGTCTCCTCCACATGTTCTGTCTAAGCATCTAGCCCTACCTTTCCGTGCGTCTGATATTCCTATCTTGAAAAAGCCTAGCTATGAGACTACATCGAGGCGTCTTATACTAGGAAGCTAGACCTTTGATCGATGGTCAACCTGGTGGAAGCCAGCTTCTTAGTCCTGAGTTGATTCCTGAGTTGATTCTGTTTGCTACGCCGTCCACCCTACTACGTAACCCTTCGGCCGTTTCCATTTACACCAACGGCACAGGCCATCTTCCCGCTGCTCCTCGATGCACCAAAAGAAAGGAAAAGAGAGAAACCAAGCGGAAAGAAGATAACCGGAAACCTAGAACAGCTCAGGAGAAGTGGCCTCGTTGCCCAAAGGTGTAAAGAGTTGGGCCAACTTGATAGCAACGGTAGGCCCCCAGGTGTGTTGGTTGGCCTTTTACACGTCAACTTGTCTGTTGTTGCGCATGGGATACAACACCACCATACAACTAAGCTGCCTACGTTGAGAGACTTGCACGTCTCCTCACCCACTCTCTTTATTTTCGGGAGACTTGCCGGACAACCCTTTTCAGGACGCCAACTTTTCTTTTTTTGCTGCAGCTTACAACAACCCACGAGGACCGTGAGCTCCGCATACAACAAAATACGGCAACTGTTGCCCCCTTTAAAGAACCAATTGGTTGACTGAATCTGAATATGCATGTCGTCTTCCGCCCGTAAAAGTCGAGTTGCCAAAAACCGTCCCGGCGGATCTCCACAGTCACCAGCGCCAATCCTACCTCTCTTATAGACCGTTCCTGCGGCTCATTACAGACTCTACGTCACAGAAAAAAACTGGCAGCTAGCCTATATCGTGACAGTCGGACTGTACCGGCTTATAGACTACAAATCCTACCAACTATCTAACATCATAGGCGGCTCACTTAGACGGTAGCCATGCACAATACGATGATCGGCTCAACTGGCATAGACCAGGATAACCACATGGCTCATGACAACTCATATTCGAACGAACAATGGGTCGATATGAGCGCCTATACCCATATGGCCATGACGACTTATCCCGGCGAGTACTATATTCCACCGGCGACTCATGGATTGCCATCCGAGTCTATCGGCATGGCTCCTCCACCTATTCCGCACCCAATGCATAATCAACCGCACAACAACTTTGCAAGTCATCTTCCGCATCCGTTGATAATACCAACACAGCAGCCTTCCCAGGTTCCATGGCCCAGTCTCCGGACGAACCCCTCTCAGAGCTACTCGGCACCTCCTGTACCAATCCCGCCGGCATCGGCTCCTGTGAGACAGCCGCCGAGATTGCCAACGATCAATACGTCACAGCCAAGGAAGACCTTGACGGACGAGGATCGTCGTAATATGTGCCTCTTTCACGAGGACAATCCCCATGCTAAGCAGACAGAGATTGGTCAAAAATTCGGTGTCGAGCGAAGGTAAGGTCGATAGGCGTTAAAAACAAATCACAGTCGCTAACATTATCCTGGTAGCACGGTGTCGAAGGTATTACGAAGGAAGGAACTTTACCTGAATCTAGATAGTTCGGGCGGCTCTCCCGTGAAAAAAACTAAGGGAAAGTCGCCGCCAGATATCGAGCGGGCTCTGGCGAACTGGGTGAGGGGTCAACAGAAGAAGGGAGTTGTAGTTAGCGACACTCAGATGGAGGAGAAGGCGAGGGTCTTTTGCACCGGCTCGGACAGCCCTCTCAAAACCATCACAGCCTCTTGGATCGAAAAGTTCAAGCAGAAGCATAATATTGGGCCGGGAAAGTTGATCCGTAGAGCTTCGGAGACGGCGATTCCAGATAATGCTCGACTGGACACCGGCTCACCCTTACTATCTGCTACACATACACCAGGAGGCATTTCGCCGGCTTCACCAACAAACCAGACGGCGTCACCGCAGATATCGTCGGTGAGCGAGAAATCTGAAGTGAAGGAATCTATCTCAAATGGCTTCATGGACTTCGAGACCAATGGATACAGACACCCACATTCTCAGAGCTCAACATCACTCTCCAGTGCCGTCACAGACCCGCCGAGCTCAACCTTCTCAGCGGGTGCTTTCAGCCCATCATCACAGTTCAACTTTTCTCCAGATCCGAACACAGGCATGTTCAGCGACCGGAATCAACAAATGCCGCCAGGAGCCTCTGGTTTCCAGCGTCCCCGAAGTCAGACGGTTCCAGACCTTGGACATCTCGAGTACATCAACCAATCGCAACCTTCGGAACCTCTGACACCTAAATATAGCCAGGCTGGGACAGCGCCCTCTTCTGCCCTGGAATCCCCGACCCACGAGATGTCAGGCTCGTCCTTTAGCGGGCTAGACTCGGCCATATCCCCACCAACACAACTACATCATGTGAGCAGCAGCAGCAGTTTAGCCGGCAGGTCGAGCTGCTCGGGCACAGCTGGAGTTTCCGGGACTTCGATGGGCTCCTCGCCTAGTTCACCCACTCAGGAGGATGCTAGGCGAGCCGCGGACACGCTCCTCAGTTTTATGCAACAGATCAAATCGACTGGCTTAGTCGACCAGAACGACTTTTTAATAGTCTTGGGTCTCACCGAGAAGCTGAGGTTGCAACCACAGCAACAGCATGGAGGACCCCAGGCGAACTCGGCAACCCAGGGCCTTGGTGGTCTATCGAGGATACCGGAAGGAGACACTGAGATGACGACAATCCCTTCACCCATGGTGAAGAACGAGACAGCGATGAGCGTGTGACTGCACTGGGGTCCCATTTTTCTAAATGAAGCAGTCTCGAAGACTATGCATGGTATCACAGCGTGAACTCTCGTGGCTTTTTGTTTCTTTGCTGAATGGTGCGAGGCCTATACCTCTTACCGCTGGGACGGCAACGAAACAAACTTGACAACCTCCGAAATAGAATGGCGAGTACCTTAAAACGAACAATCTGGAAGGGTTACGGACCCTCGAGAGTAGCGAGCTATTCTATACGATGCAACGGATCGAGAGCTACGAAGCTATTGCATTTCACGTCTCTACATCTGCTTCTACATATAATACCTATAACTCCGAAATAATCGAAAAATCACAACACATCCAACCGACGGTGAGCGCAAGGGGGCGACGGCAGTGTGTCACAATACTCGTACTTCAGCATAGGGAATCGGCGAATCGACAGGAACAGGAAACAGGAAACAGGAACAGGAACAGGGAACTACTAGGCTTCCCCGGACAGGCGGATCTCGGCCGAGGGAAACGGAGTAATAGGAAAAGGGAAAGAAAAAAAAAAGATTATATACCATACCATTAACAAACACCAACATCACCGAGCGTAATTGTATACACTACATTCTCACGAAGCATCATCATCATCATCATCATTATCATATACATACATACATATACCCCCGTCGCCCCACCGCGCGTCCAGCGAATATACCCCGAAATCGAGCAATCGACGAGAAGAAGAGGAGAGAGAGAGAAAGAGGGAGAGAGAGTAGGGAAGAGAAGGAGAAACTCATTATTATTACTATTATTATTCGGAAAGGAAATACCATTACTACCAAACCCCTTCTTTCGAAGGCAATCTTGATATATACCTACATCACGATACCATCATTAACAAATCAACTTCAACTTCGTCTTCGTCTTCATCTTCGTCATCTATCTGGCCGGCAACAACTTACAAGACTACGACCCGCTCACGCGAAACCCACAACCGTACTACTAACAGGGAAAAAAATATCCATCGCGCGTCTCGAAAAAAAAATATATCCATGTGTTAATTACTTTATACCTTTTTTTTTTTTCACTCTCTTCTCTCTTCTCCTTTCTTGCTTCTCGCTTATTTGAAAAATTCGACATTTGTTTGTTTGTTTTCCTTCTTGGACCTAAAAAGATTCCCCCGTATATATATACGCATGGTTTATTTATGTACAGTTCTGCGTGGCAGAGAACCGCTTCGTCTCGAGCCGTTCGTTACGAAGAGAGAAAAGGGGGGGGGGGGATGAGAAAGCGACGGGCGTTCGTTTGCATCGAAGAGTATTTTGATGGGGAGACAGAACCACTAGTTTCTATTACAGAATCTACTTGTTGTCTGTGAGAGACAAAGAGGGGTGACGTTGGAGCGAGGAAGGAGAAGGCGTGAAGGTGTTCTGGTGACTGGTGTTGGTGTTGGTGTGTGTCTTGGTGTGTCTTGGTGAAACGGGAGTTTATTGATTTCGGTTCACTGTTTCTCTACATAACAGCACTATCAGGCGTTCGTCTGGGTTGATTTGTCCAAGTCACTGACACTAATCGAATTTACACTACTCTGACCTAACTCTACCTACCTATTTCCCCGGCTTCCAACGTCTACGTTCCATATTAATTATTTCTCATCGTCCCATCTCGTATTGTTAAGCTATGTGCCGATGGTGAGGCGATCGGAACAAACCACATCACCCTGTATAAGTTTACGCTTACTCCTACTTCCGAACTTCCCGTATACTATTTCCCTGGTGAGTTACGGGTGAGAGACAGGCAGACAGGCATGGTGCTCACAACCTGTGACCTTTGGGATGGGTTAGGTTACACCCCGCGATGAGAAAGGGATTTGGTTTCGTAGCCCGACTGCCCCAAACAACGACCGAAGGGTTTATTTTTGGAGTGCCGAACCCAGACGCTACCAGGCTCTTTCACAAGCCAGACGTCGAAACAGGAAGAGGCGACGTAAACATCGGTACTTACAGACAATCTGGGGCGGCTCTGTAACTACTTTCCGGAACCACTTCTGCCTCGGTCCCGTTAGACTTGTCTTGCTGCTTATGTCGTAGGGTTATGTTGCATTGCATGAAGGGGTGCACTCGATCTGGACAGGGCGGTGCATTAGAACTTTGAAACTCTCCTAAATTTCTTTCTGTCTGTTCTAACCACGCGTCGCTTGGTTGGGTATCAATCATTACATTAACTTATTTCATTTACGAGAAACCGAACGTCCGGCCTTCCTCAACTTAGTCGATCTTCCCATAGTTCGATGACCCCCTTTTCGGTTAGTTCGGGCATGAGGCGCACCAAGATGAGTTCTAGAATCCCGTACAATAAGTGCTTGTTACAATAGGGATCCGAGAAGACGTCGAGCACGCCCGTCTCGATTTCGGATAGAATTCTGTTCTCATCTTCGTCCTCGTCTCCGTTACACATGTCAGCCCGCTTGTCGCCACCGGCCTCAGTCGGCCGCACACCGGTGTCTCCAAATTGCCGCTTTGATCTGTCTGGGGTCAACGTTGCATGGCTGTCTCTAACAGATTTGCCATCATCGGTAAGCCGCACGCGTGCAACTTCCTCTCCAGTGCGGTTGGCATTATGTGCCGTGTTATAGCTGTCGGCCTTAAACGGTCCGGACCGCGAACTCGCGCTCGAAAGAGTGCCAGTAGATCTGGTGGACCAAGGCCAGGTACTACTACCATAATAAAGCCTGCCCACCCTCTTCGGAACAAGCGCCAAAAGCGCGCTAGCGCATCTGCGGCGTAGGGCGCCCAGCTGCTCGTCAGATGAAGGAGGGATTAGGCTGGATGAACCTGGGGCGTTATTGGGGAAGACAGCGCCGCGTACAGCTCGAAGGAGTGGGGGAAGACGGGCGGGATCGAGAACATAGGCGTGGATGTAGTGCGAAAAAAGTCTGTGCGAGATCAGTACAATGCAAACCATGTACAAGCAGAACATTAATAGAAGCTTCTAAGGAAAGGTCTTGTAGGGAACGTGGGGGGTTAGAGTGGTACAGGTGTGACCATATGCGGGATGTTTCGAGGTAGAATGGGGTACGCCATGTCGCATGGATTGCTGAGACGCGAATTCAAAAGAGAGCCAGATTTCCCAGGGCAGATAATCTTGATCCGTTCTGTAAAACCTTGCTGCAACCATGGCTTCATGATCAAGGTCCCGTCGACAAATTGTAGCCGAGTTTGATAATGATTGATAATGCGGAGTCGGTCACGTCTGCTTGTATCAAACGACAAGCGATATGAGGCTTCAAGACATCATGAAGCCTTTACATGAAGCCTTTACATGGGGTAGAGAAAGCTCGTACAGGGGAGCTAAGAGCTGCATGAGCCTGGGTTACCCCTGGCCTTATCCGATCGGGGAAGAGGCGCGACGATGACGGATCTTCTGGCACAAGTATGCGAGGCCAAAGCCTAATGAGCTCAGATCGGTTGAGTTTTTGATAAGGACGGCTATGATGGCGTACGATACCTGCCTGGCACCGGGGTGTCAGGGTGTTTGACCGCCACAAATTTTTTTTTTTGCTCTCGGAAAGTATTCAAAGCACCCCGGTCCAAGCTACGCAAGCTGGTGACCACCCCTAGGATGATCATATCCGACTATATCCAGAGCTGAATATACTAGGTATGTAGTCGTTTTCGTTCCATCCATGATCCATCGAACTAATGGTCGGATGCATTACATTGTAGCGGGTGAATACGGAAAGCACCAACATCTAAGTAGGATAGCAGACATTGCTAAAACATCTACTAGACTTGAGAGAAACCCGTTATAAAACCCGTAACCTAACACCGTGAGCCGGAGACACATCCGTGCATGTTGGGACGGTACCTGCGGGTCGGCGGCACGAAGCGAAAGGGAAAAGAGTTCGTGGTGTTGTACCTAGGCCTAGTTGTACCAAGGATTGACGGATTGTCTGACGGGATCCTTGGTCGAGGACAGGAAACCCCTGCAAGCCCCAAAGTTGGGCGCGTAAATAAGGCTCGCGGATGGCCAGGTAGGCCCAGTAGATTCAGCCCCGCGCCGTTTATCGTGCAATCGGATGAAGGACATCTAGGTTTACCCGGTCATTGGTCATGATAAAAAATGACCCTGGAATAATAGAATGCCTCATGCTGGGTCCCTGTTGAATACCGGACTTTGGATGGCTCCCTGTTTATCCGGCTATGAAACTAGAGACTAGAGTACTGAAACGTCGCACAGCATCTGCCTCGACTTGAGGTAGGCCGGCCTCCGCTGAAAATGGTCTGGCCCGTGTACACTGTACTTTGTCTGGCCGATCTGCCAAGTCGATATCCGATGATACGAAAATTAAAGTAGTGACAGGAGAGGAGATGTCCGTCATGCGCACTTGCGAGAGAGGTCGTTTCGGAGAGATGAATGGACAAACTCAGATCCAGTGACCTGAAGCGTATGCGAGGTGACGAGATATATGCTTCTGTGATGAGTGATAGGGGAGGGAAGAAGACTGATTCGCCTACCTATCGATCATCCCGTTAAACCCTGCCAAGTTGCCCGGACCTCTCAGAGCTCCCCATTGCGCCATGGACAAAGTTCCGCTCATCCAGGGCATGCGAGCGTCTATTTCAAGTAAATTCCCAACGCAAGTCCAAAGTCTGAAGTCTGCGATGGGAACATTGACTGGCTGTAAACCGGCCTCAGGGGTTGGAGGATGGTAGGATTTCTCTCTATAATCATGAGACGTTGGATCTACCTGACGGACGGTAGGGATGGACCTAGGAGGGAGCGTTCGGGATAGCATGATCGTACTGATAATCAGTCGTATCGAGTTTACTATAACGAACCCCCACTGAATTACGGTCCAAAAAACCTGCTGGATGTACGAGTTACGTTTGCTCGTAATCCGCGGAACTATCCCGCGGCCTGTCTTTAGATCCGCGTCTGGCTCCATGTCTCCAGGTCCAGATGCCTCTATTGTGCTTCTCGCACGCACTACCCTCGTTAGTATAATCAGACCTTCCCATATAAGCCAAGGCTCCGAGAGCTTGTTAATGATGAGATTGCCTATGACGAGTTCCGAGAATAATTGCCCAACTAGCGTCGTCAGGCACTCGTTCTCGAGATCCTCGGTTGGAAGCAAGAGAGCTAGGACGCCCTGCACTAACAGTTGGCGGTATGCACTTTCGTTATCTTCCTGAATCTGTATGCTGTTATGTCCAGATTTAGGAACCGGGGACAGGGCAGGCAGCGGCCAGAGCGAATGGTAAATCTCGCGTGGATTGGCTTCGACTGGCGGCCGAGCTACCGTGTTCTTCGCTACTCGATATGCTGCATGGTATGGTCAGTAATGAGATGTATATGGATATTAGACTAAAAAGCTGAATACGCCGGCCAACCTCGGATATGTGCGTCTAGCAATTCTGGAAGCTCGTCGAATAGTAAACTCTCAAGATCTACGTTCCGCAACCTCTGTTCCAATGCACGAGTACAATGAGCAATGATTTGTACGATCTCGGCGACGAAGGTCTCATCCGGCGTAATCTTTGTGTACCAATTCTGGACGAACTCCTTAATAATGATAGCTATCAGGGCGTACAGCTGAAGATCTACATCATTTCGACTCGTAAGAGGCGGCAGCAGATCTTGAATGGGCGCAGGTGTGCTCCTCCCCCTATCTGCTAAGTGCTGGGCGCAAAGCACACGGCGTATGAATGCAGCGGTAGCCTTATCGGACAAGAAGTCGGACGATACGGGACGTGTGGATCGGCGAGGCGCCGAGGTTGGTGGAGTTGCATGAGGTGAGCTAGAAGGCTTGCTTCCAGTGGAGGTAACGGACTCGGGATTGGTGCTCGAAGTCGCTGGTGCCTTTGAGCTGGTCGGAACCGGGCCACTACCTTTAGGCGGGACGGGGCCCGATGGTGCTGCCGTCATCGTCCGGTCTAAGGATTATGGTACGTTCACCGGGATATCGTCATGCTAATTAAGTTCAGCGGAGGGCTACCTCGTTCAATATGTATAACCTAGTATGGCTCGGTGGCATGTAAAAGAGGAAGACCGTAGAGTGGGTTGTCTGGTTGTAAGTGGTTCGCAAGTGGTTTGGTTGGTTAATTATCGCGTTAATTATCGCGCTAGTTGCTGCCGGTTTTGCTGCTGCAGGAACGATTCTTCGCTGTCAATTTCCTTGTTCCATTTTTTTTTTCTTTAGGGGACGCTGCATCTGCAACTGCGCGGCAGTCTGTGCCACCTGCAATGACGTTGGCGGATTAGATTAAGCTTCAGCGGCAGAGCACAGGCCTTCAGGGTACATCGCTTCCTAACTTGCATCTACACTATGTAATTCGTATATCGGTGCAAGGATAGCCATGCTGCTTTTACTACTATGTAGTTGTTGAGCCTCATTTATTGAGCTTATATTTACATTTTAGAAACATCTGACTTTCTAAAATCTAATTATATTCTTTTTTGTTTTTTGTTTTACTTGTATTTCACTTCATTGACTATGACGGCTTATTCTATCTAAATTTAATATAGCCGGATTTATTTTGCACGGGAGTGATGTAGTTCCTTATACACACGGCCGCAGTCCTCTAATACTGCACTTCTATGGTCATATACATTAATAATTGTACAAGGCCACGCCTTATTCGGTGCTTCTCGTTGTTGCTTCGTATCTGCCAGAATCGTTAAAACCCAGGAATCCGGACAAATTTGGGAATTTCTTATTGTAATACATACCTCTTTCCTCGGAATGCCCATACGCCCCAGTTACCACAGCTGATATCTTGTGGATCAAGGTCATTGAGATCCCATCGTAAACTCCTGAAGGTGTTTTCACCAGGTTCCATAAGCATATCAAACTCGCCGCCGCAAGTCTTCTTTACCCATTCAATATCTCTTTCCATGTCATACTGCGTGTAGCCGGTTACTATGATAGGGGCCTTTGTTTCAAGGAGCAGAGGTACCGTTTCTGTCCACTCGTGAGAGCTGGCTGGGTGTCCTAATCCTGGATGGAACATGACAAAACAGTCAAAATACGGATCGTATGGATAAAACTGGCCAGTCTTATGTAGAGTATGATAGTAATCCACAATGGTGCTAATTTTCATTGTTGGCCACACCCGGTCTTCTACTACGGCACCGAAGGGATTGGATGGAGTTCGCGGCGGCAATGGGAATTCATCGTCTCTGTTGGTCATGCTTTCGGGTCCGATGAAGATAAGGTGAAACTTCCCTCGGGGGAATAGGTGAGCTAACTGTACCCAGACATTCCGAGGGAGAGACGACTCCGCACGAGCCCCTAGGATGAATAATCTCACTGGGGGTGCTTCGGGTCGTAAGCCCTTGATTGTTTCACCGCTGCCTGTCCTGGGTGGATGTAAGGTATATCGTAGAGCACTTAAACTTTTCAGACCTTCAGTTGTGAGCCTGCCACCTTTCCTAATATTATATGGACTGAGCTCGTGTAAGATGCTACCTATCGTTATCGGGTAGGTAAGCAGCCGCGTAACCTGTCGCATGTTCCGGTCATCGTTGATGGCTTCGAATTGCCTCGTATAGAGAAAAGTGTCCCAGTTGGTCATATTTACAGCGGCTTCTTCCATCTGAGGGCCTGCGTACTCGAATTCGGGGAAGAACCTCCCCGAGCGCAGATCGTGGTCATCTTCATTGATCTGTCGTAACGTATCGCAAATATGTAGATGAGCCTCATAATCCTCGGCCCAGTGCTTCTCACTACAATAGACAGGGATTCCACAGTCCGGACATTCGAAGTCGACGAGGACTGGTGCTTGCGCACCGGAACCTGTAACGTTAGATGGGGTACTGGTACTGGCTGGATCTCGCGTGGGTTGATGGTCGGGGTGAGGACAATGGGCGTGTTGCCTTATAAAAGCAGCACGGCGGCGTATTTCGGGAATGGGCGAGTTAGTAAAAGAATGGAAAAGGTCGTCAGGGCGGAGGACCGGAGGTTTCGATTGGTTCTCGTACGTCGCGGCTGGTCCTAGAGCAATTGTATCGTCCTCGACTGTTTTTGACTGCCGGCCAAATAGAGATATGGGTCTCGAGAGACATTTGCTAGCTTCAGTGGACGGGACAGGACGACGCGAATGTATAGTCGGACTAGGAGAGCAAGCCTTTTGTAGTGAGCGTGAAGATGTAGCTTTAGAGAATGATCTCGTCATAGGTGGGCGAGCTGTATTGGCTGCGGAGAGCCTTATACACGTTCGGCAAGTATTAGAGGCCGCCAGGCGCATTGAAGGCTCCATTGTCAAAGCTTCCCTGGCAATGGCCCATACAATGGTGGCTATAAATTTGCGACTGGATAGCTTGAAGCTCAAGAAATATATGACATGAAAGATGCATCTATTTTCATGTACCCTTGTACCTATGGTGGGATGTTAAGGTTCTCCACACCTCACATCCACGGTAGGTTAGGTACTTATGTACCTTGTGCAAGAGGTCGGGCAATCCATCCACTGTGGCCCGATCAATATTAGTCCGGTTAATCGTTAATCCGCCTAAAGACCCACAAGACCTAGCGAGAGCTTTAACAAACGGGTCAACTTATTGGCGAACTGAATTCTTTAGTGCCTCCAATCAAGTTCTTCAGCTTGATTGAAGCTCCATCAACTTCAAAGAAAAACTTTGGAGCTTCCTTTACAGGAGGTAACTTAGTTGTCTAAACCAGCTTCATATTATAACGAAGAGGAGGTAGAGAGATTAAAAGAGTCGCGCAGGCTTTCTGCGCATCTCCTGCGAAGATGGCGACTACTTCTAATATGTTTCTTTACTCCTTGACCATCCAGCCTCCCACCACAATCACTCAAGCTATTCTCGGCCAGTTCTCTGGCACCAAAGAGCAGCAAATCATCACAGCCTCAGGTTCACGACTCACGCTACTACGTCCCGAACCATCGCAAGGAAAAGTCATCACCCTTCTCTCTCACGATGTTTTTGGCATCATCAGGTCCATTGCCGCCTTTCGCCTGGCGGGAAGTAATAAGGGTAAGTCTTATATCCGCCCCTTACTTGTGAGGCTTCACTTAGTGATTTTTGAAGCTGGGTCGATAGAAACATTCCAACTGCCGCCTCGACATATGGTGTGGTATCTCGATCCTTGAGGAATTATTGTTTGGCTAGAGCTTTGCTAACCTTTCTACCTACAGACTACATAATACTTGCCACTGATTCGGGACGCATTGCAATAATCGAGTATATCCCTCAACAGAATCGTTTCAAGCAACAGAAGCTCGAAACTTTTGGAAAATCCGGGGTTCGCCGGGTCGTTCCTGGACAGTACCTGGCCTGTGATCCTAAAGGTCGTGCCTGTCTTATCGCGTCGATCGAAAAGAACAAGTTGGTCTATGTCCTGAACCGAAATGCTCAGGCAGAGCTTACTATTTCTTCGCCCTTAGAGGCGCACAAACCGGGAACGATTGTGCTCTCGATGGTTGCTTTAGATGTCGGTTACGCCAACCCAGTATTTGCAGCGTTGGAGGTCGATTACTCCGAAGCAGACCAAGACCCTTCAGGCCAAGCCCTCACCGAGATCGAGACGCAGTTAGTCTACTACGAATTAGACCTTGGGTTAAATCATGTTGTCAGAAAATGGCATGAACCAGTTGATCCTACTGCGTCTATACTGTTCCAAGTTCCCGGTGGTAATGACGGGCCAAGCGGTGTTTTGGTATGTGGAGAAGAGAATGTCACATATAGGCACTCTAACCAGGAAGCATTCCGTGTGCCGATTCCCAGAAGAAAAGGCGCAACAGAAGATCCTCAGCGAAAGCGTTCAATCGTCTCCGGTGTCATGCACAAACTAAAGGGAAATGTGGGCGCATTCTTTTTTCTCTTACAAACAGAGGATGGCGACCTTTTCAAGGTTACTATTGACATGGCTGAAGATGATGATGGTAATGCAACTGGAGAAGTACGAAGGCTCAAAATTAAGTATTTCGACACCGTCCCGGTCTCTACAAACCTCTGCATTCTGAAGAGCGGTTTCTTGTTTGTTGCCAGCGAATTTGGGAACCACCACTTCTACCAGTTCGAGAAGCTAGGTGATGATGACGATGAATTGGAGTTCACCAGCGACGACTTCCCGACAGACCCACAGGCATCATACACTCCCGCCTATTTCTACCCTAGGCCGGCCGAAAATCTAAGTCTTGTTGAGAGTATCGATTCAATGAATCCCCTTGTTGATTGCAAGGTAGCCAACCTGACTGGTGATGACGCGCCACAAATTTACTCTATCTGCGGAAATGGTGCACGGAGCACGTTTAGGACCCTGAAGCATGGTCTAGAGGTCAACGAAATCGTAGCCTCGGAGCTTCCAGGTGTCCCATCTGCTGTTTGGACTACCAAACTTAACAGAGATGATCAATATGACGCTTATATTGTCCTCTCGTTTAGCAACGGTACTTTAGTGCTTAGCATTGGTGAGACTGTAGAAGAGGTAACCGATACCGGATTCCTCTCAACAGTTTCAACGTTGGCCGTTCAGCAACTTGGCGAAGACGGTCTTATCCAGGTACATCCCAAAGGTATCCGACATATCGTTCGAGGGCGAGTGAACGAATGGGAAGCGCCACAACATCGATCAATTGTTGCCGCTTCCACCAATGAACGACAAGTTGCTGTTGCGTTAAGCTCGGGTGAAATTGTTTATTTCGAGATGGCCGATGATGGGTCCTTGGCCGAATATGACGAAAAGAAAGAGATGTTCGGGACTGTTACCTGCTTAAGTTTGGGTGAAGTTCCCGAAGGTCGTTTGCGAAGCTCATTCCTTGCTGTTGGGTGTGATGACTGCACCGTCCGAATTCTTAGTCTAGATCTGGAATCCACTCTCGAGAGCAAATCTGTGCAAGCGCTAACAGCTGCCCCATCTTCGCTTTCTATAATGTCTATGGAGGACTCGGCATCTGGCGGTTCAACCTTATACCTGCACATTGGCTTGCATTCGGGCGTCTATTTACGGACTGTCCTAGACGAGGTGACCGGAGAATTGACTGATACCCGTCAGAAATTCCTTGGCCCTAAAGCTGTACGACTCTTCCAGACCTCAGTCCAAGGCCGTACCTGCGTCCTAGCTCTCAGCTCGAGAACTTGGTTGGGTTACTCGGACCCAATCACGAAGGGTTTCATGATGACTCCTCTAGATTATAGCGATCTGGAGTGGGGATGGAATTTTAGTAGCGAGCAGTGCGAAGAAGGCATGGTAGGCATTCAGGGCCAAAATCTCAAGTAAGTGAACTTTCCTATTCTATTCAAGTTGAAGAATGATGAGAAACTGGATCCGATGCCTCGGCTATGAGGTCTTTACGCATACCAATTGTTCCTACTGAACTTCACAAACATTTCCTACCTAAATATGAGACACGGGAAAATGATAAGATGCTAACGGCAACAGAATCTTCTCAATTGATAGGCTGGGGGACACTCTACTGCAGCAATCGATACCACTCACCTATACCCCAAGACGTCTTGTTAAACACCCCGATCAGCCCTATTTTTATACTATCGAATCCGACAATAACACGTTACCACCTGAGTTACGTGCTCAACTCCTAGCTGACCCCGGTGTCGTTAATGGTGATGCCGCCGTACTGCCACCCGAGGAGTTCGGATATCCCAGAGGCCGTGGTAGATGGGCGTCTTGTATTAGTGTCGTGGATCCATTGACGGAGAAGCGAGTTCTGCAAACGCTAGAATTGACCGAGAACGAAGCTGCCGTTAGCGTGGCAACGGTCTCATTTGCGAGTCAGGACAACGAGACATTTCTCGTGGTTGGAACTGGGAAGGACTTAATTGTCAGTCCCCGTCAGTTTAGCGCAGGATATATACATGTCTACAGATTCCGTGACAACGGCAAAGAGATCGAGTTCATTCATAAGACCAAGGTAGAAGAACCACCCATGGCGCTGGTGCAATTCCAAGGCCGACTACTGGCAGGAATTGGCAAAACCCTTCGTGCCTATGATCTTGGGCTTCGCCAACTTCTTCGAAAAGCACAAGCTGAGGTTGCACCGCAGCTCATTGTCTCCTTACAAACTCAAGGCAGCCGTATTATTGTTGGTGACGTTCAGCAAGGAGTGACGTATGTCGTATATAAATACGAGAGCAACAAGCTGATACCGTTCGCTGACGATACAATACCACGCTGGACAAACTGCTTAACTATGGTAGACTATGAGTCGGTTGCTGGTGGAGATAAATTCGGAAATATTTGGATTGTACGATGTCCACAAAAAGCAAGTGAAGAGGCCGACGAAGACGGAACCGGTGCGCATCTGCAGCACGCCAGGGAATATTTGCATGGCGTGAATCACCGCTTGAGTCTTATGGCCCATTTTTACACCCAAGATGTGCCCACCAGTATAAGCAAGACCAACCTGGTGGTGGGAGGACAAGATGTACTTCTCTGGAGCGGGATACAAGGGACCATTGGCGTGTTTATCCCTCTTGTTAGTCGAGAAGACGCGGATTTCTTCCAGAGCCTTGAATCGCACATGCGAAGTGAGGACCCGCCCCTTGCCGGAAGAGATCACCTTATATACAGGGGCTATTATGCTCCTGTCAAAGGCGTTATTGATGGTGACCTATGTGAAAGATTCACATTGCTCCCTAATGATAAGAAGCAGATGATTGCAGGAGAGCTGGATCGTTCGGTCCGAGAGATAGAGAGGAAGTTATCTGTAAGTGACAACAACTAAACTCTTCCATCCTTGAATTGAATACCCAAGCTTACATTCAACTAGGACGTACGAACTCGGTCGGCATTTTGATAAGGGAAGGTTAGGCAATGCAATGGCGCCTGGAGTAAAAAGGAGCACACTGTATTTACGAAATGAATTTCTGGAATCCGGGTAGCGGAACATTCAATCGAATGGTTAGTATGTCCATTTCAACCTACGAGCCTTCCTATAGTACACTCAAGAACACGAAATTGTGTATAAAACTTATCCCTATATAATCCAGAAGCGTCAAATTTCAAAGACAAATCATATTTACCTTTATTTATCCTGACCTCTACGCCCCCTCCAATACGAGCTCCTATTGGCTTGCCTCGCAATTCCTTTGCCTTTTCCCGCTGCCTCAACTGGGTGCGTCCGTTCCCACTCTTCATCGGCGAAGAAGGCTTCGGTTGCCATTTGGAGGTCATAGCCGGCCTGTTCCAAGTAAAGGACGGCAACGTCGTATTCGTGGACTTTACACGCCATCATCCATCGCCGTATCTTAGATTTTCGCGCCTCTTCTTCTTCGC